AGTGGAACCCAAGGAGGCACCGTGACGCCGTTTTCGTGTGTTGAGGCTGTAACTGGCCACTCGGCGGTTCTTTTGAAGAGAGGTCAATGGGCACTACAAAAATCTGCGAAAAAGGATTTGCAGGTGGCCAAATCCTTTTTGGAAAGAGAAAGCCATGGGGTTGTTGCAACCGTCAGGCACCTCCCTCCGTGCCTGATCCAGAGGGCCGCACCACAGCGGCCCGGCAAGGAATCTCACGGGGGTTCTCAAAATCGCGGTCCCCTGAAATGGTTGGTGTCCTGTTGATTGCCCTTTCAAGAGGCAATGTTTTAAAAATTGCCACCATTAGAGTCAAGACGTTTTCTCGTGGAAAGGGCATGACGAGTGGGTGAGACATATCATCTAGTCCCGACGAGAGGGCCTCAACAGTTCCACATAGATTGACTGACATGCAATTCGGACAGCATCTCGGCGAATTGCTTGCAGATGCCACATGTCTGATTCAGCATTGTTCGCTGCAACAAGATGCTGACTTTGGTAGGCCCACAATGCACCGGAGCGCTCAGGTGATGTTGCGGAATTTGCCGAACAACTACACACGGGCTTCTTGGCACAGCCTGAACATGTTATCTCTCGAATGTGGGTTACTGATGAACAAAGGGGAGGCCCAAGCAATTGTTTGGAACCCAACACAGAAACCGGTAAACAACTCGGGGGTCAGATATAGACCTTTCCCAGCATTGCTCGGCTTAGTATTGGTTTGTATTAGCTTAGTATTGGCTGAGTATTGCTTCGGTTGTCTTCGTTCCTCTTCGGTCGTCTCTGCCTGGTACTGGTGTTGAATTGTTTGAGTATTCCTTTGAGCGAAAGTGCTGTTTAGAATTGCTTTCGTATTGCTTTGTGCTGCCTTAGAACTGGCTTTGCCCAGTATTGGCCTAGTCTTGGCCTAGTCTTGGCCTAGTCTTGGCCTAGTCTTGGCCTAGTCTTGGCCTAGTATTGGCCTAGTATTGGTTTAGTATTGGTTTAGTGGCATTTTGTTTTTGGGCCTCGAAAACGGTTGCACAATCGTGGTACCCTTCTTCATTTCTATTATTCAGTATTGGGGGTGGCTATATGCTACCCCTTGGAAGTGTGGTCTGAGCACTTTTACATTCAGTAGATATAAGGAAATCCGCGGTTTCGGGAATGGGTGTTGTTTGCAGAGATATTATTCTGATTTTCTCCGTACTCGAGAGCAAGAACAAGTGGACCAGAAGAGAGACATGGGAATTGTTATAGGGCAGGGGCGGAGAGACGGTTGCACAGTTGTGGTACCCCTTTTTCACTTCTATCATTGAGTATGTGGGACGGCTACATGCTACCCCCTGGAAGTTTCGGCTGTGCACTTTTGTATTCAGGAGACACAAGGAAACCGGCTGTTTTGGGGATGGGTGTTGCTTCCATACCAGTTTCTTTCCGATCCAACACAATACTATTGTATTAGGTCTTCTTTTTTATTGTTGGGGGTAGAACATAATTTTGGGACTCTTGATTGTATTTGGTACCCTTTGTTTAATCGGGTACCGACATTGCCGAGATTGGAGGGTGGCCTTGGAATGTTCATCACATCGATGTAACAAACGCGGCTCGGTGCCATTGTTCTAAGTGAGTATGGTGTGCAGAAACGTGAGACTCGGCCACTCAGGACATGCTCTTGGACCTCATTGACAGTTTGGGATTCTGTGGTCAGTATGTGGCGTGGCAATGCAGACACAGAAGCGTGATTTGCGAGGTGTCAGGAAGGTTCTCTAACCGATTGTGCTGATATGTTTTGTTCGTCAAAAAGACAGTCATACATTCAGAACCAGGATGTTTTTTTGTAGCATGTGGTTTCCTGAAACGCTCTGAAAATAGAAGGGGCAATGCATGGCTTTGGAGTTTTACGTGTGGTTCGAACAGCATTGATAGCCTGATCAGGATTTCCTGTACCTCCCCATTGACTTTCAGACTCATGCGTGCCTGGGTTATGCCTTTGTCAACCTGATTGATGCAGGCAAGGGCAACACGGTCCAGAGCTAAACACAACAACTGCTATGCCAGCTTTGTGAGCCTGGACAGGCGTGGTGCCATCCTTTTGGCAAGCATTCGATGGCTTCAGCAACTGGAGCTTGCCGAGCCGCAAGGCCTGATATAGATCCGCAGAGACATTCCAACAGACAGAGGTAAACATTGCATTGCGCGCAGGTGTGCTACATCAGCTGGAGTGGCCCGCATCAAGGCCAATGCAGTAGCGAGAAATGTTGACCCCTCGCACCGACTGTGAAGAAAGCCGTTCCCAGGATTGGAGGCACACATTGAGCGGTATCGCAACAGCCCTGTTGCCAAGCTGCATGATTGGGCCCAGGGCCGGGATTGGCGGAGCTACGCTCAGGTCCAGCCTAAAGCCACCGGTCAAAAAAAAAACACCCTAGACCCACCAAACCATTCGTGAACGAACTAAACCGACCACAGATACACACTAAACAACGCCTAAACAACCCTAAACTGACGTCAACCAATCCGAAACTAACCTTAAGCCCACCCAAAACCAACCCTAAGACTAAACCAACCCTAAGCCTAAACCAACCCTAAACCCGCCTTGTCTCAATCCCACCCTTCCACCCAAGCGGCAAGTCGACTGCCTGAAACCCGCCATGAAGCAACCCCAAACCCGGGATTCAGAAGCGGTTCCATCGCTGCATTGGCAGGTGGGGCCCCAAATTTGCCGCGAAAGCCAGCATAGCCCATGCAGTTCCAAGATGTAACGCTTGGATTCAAGTTACTTCCTATCAGGGCGATGAACTTCACATCAGGTAGTTTGGCATTCCCAAATTCCTTGTTTGTGTGGACAAAATTGCTTCCATTGGAGCAAAGCCTGCTACTTCTCCCTTCGTTCCTTGAGTTTTCCCGTCAATTCATTGTGCCCCATCTCAGCTTCTTTTTTGCTCATTTCTCACCAGGAATATGCCCCATTTGTTCATTTCCCCGTCGCTCGTTTGCCCATTCATGTAATGTCTCCCACCTTCCCACCTAGGTCCGCTACGTGTCTTTTGTCATGTGAAGCTTGCTGCCCTTTGATTCAGGTTATGCACCCGGAAGTTCGATGCTGAGCTCGCTTTCCGCTTGTGTGCTTGACACGATGAGCTTGAACAGCGGAGAGAGCGGAAGAACATTGTGGAAGTGTGGAAGCCTTTTGCTTGAAGTCCTGATGGCTGATGGGCACGTGTTTGACAGTGCTTTGCATCGGCATGCTTCCGAGGTTGGTGACGAATGCAAACCCCTCATTTTCAAAGATGGTGTTCGCGTGACATTTCCAACTTCGACGAAATCTGTTCGTCCCCCACGCGCCTCTCGGCTTCATAGCAGGTTTGCTGAAGGTGCTGTTTTGCAGATTATTCATGCAGACTCGTATTCATGCATAGACAGCCAAGCCACAAGTGATGTGCCATGCATGGCTGCTCCTAGTTCGCTCGTCGGGCAATACTCAAGGCATTTGTTAGGCAGTACCTGGAGGCTGACATAGAAAGCAGCGCGTGTGTTTTCATGTCTAACCCAAGAATGCTGTTGAAGAGAAAGGGATGTGTTGTCATAGGTAGCTGGGAGGCAGCTCAGTCACACAGAGTTGGTCAGGTCCGCAAGCGCACCGAGAGCAACGTGAACGTGCGGCCGAACGTGAAGAACGTGTCGGAGAAGGCTTGCATGTCAAGAACGTACTGTTTTGCCCTAGATGAGTCACTCATTGGATTTCAGGTTGGCCTGGCTTGTGAGATTTCAAACAAACCCAGCGAAACAAGGCGTTGGGATGAAAGAAGGGTGAAATGAGGACTGTTGACTGAAGGTGCATCCTGTGTTTTGAACACTTTGTTCCCCACCCGTCAGATTGGGTTGTGAGATTTTTTTAAAAATGCGCCCGCAAGCCAGCAGCTCCCAGAAAGATGCAGATGACAGACGCCGGAGTCAGACGGACGCAGATGCACCAGATACTGTAGCCAGTCAAACGTAGATGACAGATGCCAGAGTCAGTCAGGGGACAGATGCACCAGCCAGATAGCCAGTCAGATCTGGATGCGCCAAACCCCATGCGCGGAGAAGTTTCGGGAAAGGAGCCGTGGCCAAAACCCTGCAATCTTGAACGAAACAACATCCAAACCAGCCAAGGCGCATCAATTGCGTTGCTGGAGGCAAAGACAAGCCAGGTGTCAGCCGTACACTAGGGGGTAAAATCAAAGAGCAGGACCTATCCAGGACTGAAACATGGTCACTAAGATGGTAAGCTTACTATCAGCATGCAGGAATGCATTGACAAATTCTGCGGGAGACAGACTGAAAGGCTCGGGAAAAACTGGGCAGAAAGCTGACGTTCGGAAAAGCTGGCCGGAAAAGGCGTCGGAACAACTCGGAAAAACAGGCCGGACAGGGTTGGAGAAGTGGGAAAAGCTGGGAATGAGTGGGGAAAAGCTCGGAAAGCAAACTTGGAAGTTGTTTGAACGACCAGGACAACTTGGCCGAAGAAAACCGGAGAAAACCTGCGTGGAAAAAATCGGCGAAACTAGGCGGAAGAACTTGGCGAACTGCGCGGAGTTGGAAAAACTTCCAAACTGCAGGGGCGGAAAAACTGGGCGCATGCAAATCGGAATACCTGGACTGAGTCGGAAAAGCTTGCCAGAAAACGCGGAAAATGGTAAGATCCGACTATGCGCAGATTCGTGAGCAAAGTGGGGGCGCAAATGTGGGAGGGGATGGTTGTGCACTTCTTGTTTGCACTAGAAAAACAAAGATGGGGGGGGGAATCTGCATTCTTTGCAGCCGAAGGGCGGGTTTCGGGCAAAATCCGCAAGAATCACAGGGAGGGCGGGAATAAAGTAGCTGTCAAGATCATGTCCAGGGAAGCGATGCTGATTTCGGGAAATTTCCTTAGATACAGTCTCAGTGCAAATTAGCTTTACATAGCGGATGGGGTTTCTGAGAAAGACAGATGAGGCCTAATGAAGAGCCAGATATTCATTCCATGTTAAAAACCCTGTTCTCTAACAAGTTCGCTTGCAGACGAGAAAGAAGATCATGGCCTGCCTTTCACCCACGGAAGTTACTAGTTGCATCCATGGCATGGGATGCGAGTGAAGTGAGCTGTAATTGCAGACAAGGAAACGAACTGATGGACAGGACATCCTAAAAAAGACGTTCAGTGCATTGCACAATAAAGAAAGAAAGACGGGTGAACACAAAAGACACTAGAATAATAATACATGAACAGGTGAAGTCATAGAAAGGCAGATTGATAACTCTAGAGACGATGTCTACTGAAAGAATATTATCAGACAAAGCAATAAGACCACTAAACATACGTTTTGCTCAACTATTATCATGTTGAATACATATGGTGCATTGGAAATCTCATTTACAATCAAATATGTACCGTCAGATATTAATACAGCATATTTTAGTATTGTCGTTTTAAGTAGGAAAAACATACTGTCGATGATGCTTACGTTGGAATTAGCATTTACTTCTTCTTAATGGGTGGGAACAGCATTTAGTGGCTGTGTTTCCCCAAATGAACAAATGAGTTTCTAGCGGGGTACAGCAATTAGATTTGTTTATCTCCCATTCCATCTTCAGTAGAATGGCTTACATTATGCTTGCAATCCAACATTGAAGGGGTTGATTGTTTTTCAGTGTCTATGCCCATTTCTTCTTGGTGGTGTTCTTCTTTATCATATTTGTAATCTATGTGCCTGTGCTACCGTATAGTAGTCCTAGCAGGAATTTCACTAATCAGAAAACGTGTGTTAAACCAATATTAGTAAAGATTTCCGTGGACAGATACTCATCCTGACACTATGCGTCCTTCTAGTGACATCCGGGTTCGCTTGTTTCTCACGTCCAGATAATGCATTGGACACATTTGGAATTTAACTCCTTTGCTCATAGTGCCCGAACTATGCCAATATGCCATGTGAAAAGCTGTGACAAGTAAGCATGCTGGATGCATTGTCTTATCTCCTACCTCATGTGCCCGCAATAAATTGCACTTGACCAAACGCCACAGCAGGTTTCATCAGTTACTAGAAACATGCACACCATTGCAAGTCATAAGATGATAAGAACGCGACGACGTGTTGTCTCGTAGTCCCCTGGCACCTGTAAACAAAGTCATCCCTCATGGGGGCTTCGCTGCGCGCAGGTTGGATTTCGCAAAATCTGAGAGGGACCGGCCGGTCAAAGGTGGAATGAAATCGACTGCGCGAAGTGAGCCAGAGGATAAGTTCCCAGCTGACAGCACGACGAAGGAACAATCTTCACTAGGATTGAAAGACGGGACGCCGAGGCTCATGAGTGCAATCCTGAGTGCATCCGTTCTTGCGTCAGTGGCACGTTTGCCCGAAAGCCCGGTTGGGGTATGAAGCGATTGACAGATTTGTGAAGCCCAAGTCCATTGGCCGGTCGCAGTATCAGGAGAGCTGACGATTTGTGGGCTGCCAGTTGCAGTCCATAGGCGACATCTCCCCCCCCGTACGGACGTGTTCACATGTGTTTGCCATGTCCAAAGTCGCCGTTCTGCATGGGCAGATAAAGCATTCGTTGAAGTTGTAATGTCAGATCTTCTTACAGAGCGAAGCTCGTGGCCAGTTGGCAAGCGCATAAAGCTTGGAGAGCTGTTGTGCTTTTGGGGTGCCGGACCCCGTCTGACTTCATCAATCCTGGGAGCCTCGGAACCTGCCGCTGCAAACCAGCCCCAACCCTCACAGAAGGTGATTTTGTTTCACAGAGAGCCATCCTTCAGTTGTCTTGGCCAAGAGAAGAGCAGCTTACTTTATGGCTAGAGCTCCTTAAGATAGGGGACAACACACGGAAAAGAGGAATTGCCAAGCCATCCAACTATTGAATTGGGTGCCTGTACGTTTGGCTGTTGAAGACATCCCACCGTTTCTGACCGAGAAATGTTTGCCTGCTGCCCTCTTCGTCCCATGCTGCCATCGCGAAACGTTTCTGTGACAAGAAGGAAACTCTGGGGCTCCCGGCATGCGTGCGATCAGATGGCTTGATCTGGCATACCATCAAGCTCTTGCAGTTATGTACAGTGCAGCTGTCGTATTCTTCCGCTGGGCGCCCGCCTTTCCCACAAACATTTTGGACATGGGGTGGTGGTCAATGCGATCTTGGGATCTTGGGCAGCGTCCAGCAAAGTGTACTCTTGCAGCGACGTGATCTGCTGCACTGTAGCGGAGGCGCGAGGCTCAGCTTCGATGGATGTCATATTCAGTGATCAGAAGTGAATCAGGTGATCAAATGCATTGGTCGGACAAACCTGGGGTTTCAACGGACGCCTAGGGTGGGGGCCATGGGCGGTATTGTGAGATTGGCTTGCACTTGCAAACTGAGGTGGGGCGGACTACATTGGCAAGACCGCGGGGCCGATCTTCCAAAAAAACTGGGGGGCAGCTGTTGCTGAACATGTGAACTAGTCATGAGCTTCAAGTAATATACATCTATACTATACAAAATGCTGGTCGTTTGGTGGTATGAATTGCGGGAGCTGCGCCCAGTCCCCAATCATGACGGCTACTTGTAGGTCCAGCAGTGTTGCATCGCGATCAATTTGCCTTCGTTAAGACGCAGTGCTTTGCAAGCTGCAAGCTTCACAGCTTGGCTGTGCTGGCACCTCTCATCATGTTCCATTGAGACCTTCTACCTAAAACGCCGGACCAGACAAGCCGAGCTTTGCGAATGCTTGCAAGCTGCGATGCAGCGTGGCCATTTGTAGATCACACTGACACTGTGTTCCTGCAATACAAGTTGACAGCTCTGCATGGCCTGAGCTCTTCGGAGAGCCGTGCGACGCTTTCGTTTCCTGTACGTTTTGCGCTGGAAAGGCCCGAGCCGTCGTACTTAAAGAGTTTGAGTAAGGGCGTGATGTTGCCATGGCAGGTGCTGTTACAGACCCTGGGGAAAGAGTGACATGGGCATGGTTTTGTCCGGGGTTGGAAACATATAAGTCCGCGGGAACCATGCTTGTGTGAACCTAAAGGAGCAATCCTGCTGGTTGAGGTGTTTTTGTTTTTAATCTTCCCATGTCGGGCCAATTTTCCAGGGTTGGTGCCAGGTCGATATGTTCTAACCACGAAATCAACGTTACGAAATTGACGTTTGCCAATTCGCTTCCTACGGCCAAGCTCTTTCGGCTCGCCCAGCGCTATGATCCGCAGTTCCGACGATTTTTTCGTTGCCGTCCAGAGGCGTGCAAGTGGGTTTCCTCAGTGGGTTTTTCGTCACCTTGATTGTCGGACTTGGATCAGCTTCCTCGGCAAAAGCAAGTTGTACAATGTGAGGACCGGTAACGGCCTCGCAAAAAGGTGAAGCTCAGCGCTGGTTGGAACAATCCAGCTACGCTGACCTCTCCTAATGCTGCTCTGACCAAGCATTTTGACTCTCACGAAGCCTGCTTGGCGAGAGATTTACGGAATGCGGCTGCAGACAGCTGCCGAGATTGGGCTTTGTCCCTCGTAAAGCCTGGGAACCCATGAAAGCTGGACTCAAGCTATGTGTGACGCGTCTTGGTGCTTTGTTGTGACTGGTGCATTGCACATGTCTTGGTGTTGCTGGAATGGATACGTGCTTGATATCGTGCGTCTCTTCATGGGTCCACGTCACGGGCTTCCGATGTACCCTTCTGAACCGACCTGCTGACAGTCGGGCTCGTCTTAGCAAGCCTTTCTTGGATCTAGAACTCATCGTGCTCCAAAGTTTGCACGTTGGCCAGTGATTTGCACGGTGAGGTCCTGTACTTTCAGAGAGCAAAAAAGGGGGCCTGTCTCAAAGGGGTACGCTGTTGGGATGGTTTTGAAGGGGAACCTGAAGAACCCCCAATATCACTGAACGGAGGACTCAATGTTGCAACATGTGGCCCATTGAGTGACAGCACATGAGGCTGCATTGATAGTTTGCTGAGGCTGTTCCAATATCTTGCTTTGGCTGCAAGGAGAAATCTATGGAGAATGAATTTGCAGGTAGCAAAAGTGGAATGCTTTCTTCCTGCTGCTTGAGTAGCTGAATCTTCCGAGGGGCGCGTTGGTCACCAAGAACCAAAAGGGTTCCATGCTCTGGATTTCTGGCTGGGAGAACGAACACTTGACAACCATTTGTATGCGTCCCAAATCCAGATCACAGGTGGAGCCTGGTGGCCGCGTATCCTGTTCAGCCGGCGGAACCAAGGCGAGTGTTGAGGTGCTCAGAACCTTCACATCACCTGGAGAGTTGTCCGATGAATTCTTCTTGCGGTGCCTCGCTTTGCCTCGCCAAGGCAACAGAAGTTTGAGACTTCACATCTCTTGTGCTAGTTGATCTCCGTGGCAATGGTCGCGCAATGCAGCATACAGGGAAAGAGTGCCCCCCCCCTGTTTACGCATGAGGGCCACGCTGCAAAAGGCAGGGCTATGCTGTATCGTGCCACTCAGGCCCTTTGTTTTGCCGTAGAAGGGCAGTGGCAGGAGATTTCGGGCTATGGACCCTGCGACCCGATCTCGCAGCAGCGTTGGAAATTGCAGAGCCTGAATTGCGGAGGTTAGTGTGCGTTCAGAGCGCACTTCGGCCCCTGATTTGGGTCTTGCGACGCAACGCTGATCAGCAGCCACGGACGAACAGAGAAAGAGTATGCCGAGCTGGCATGATGGGTCTACCGGAAGGCAGGCTTAGCTACTCCCTCAGGCTAAAGGCAAAGAAGTGAGGCAAAAAAACACATTGGCAAACGTGCAAGAAGTTCACAGGTCATGCGGGTTTGAGAGGCCATGTCACGTCAATGTGAGCGTTGCTGCCTTTGGACACATCTATCCTACTCTCGGCTCAGCAGTCCTTCTGTGCAGTCAGCGCTCCCTGATTTCCGTAGTCGAAGCTTCCGGGTTTGTGCCCAGAATGCGCAGAACCCAGCTAGCCGGGGGTTTGTATGATCTGAGTTCATGTGTTCCAGTGTCCCAACTCAGGGGCAATGTTTGCAGGTCAAGCACCACAATGTCCATTGTCTCGGACTGGATGCTCGATTGTTTTTAGTCATGTTTATCAAACATTTGCTTGCTTGGCAGACAAGGATGAAATGTGGAAGCAACCTGCACCATGACATGTCTTTGTTGCCAGCCAAAGTGCAGTACATCCTGTTTGTCGCACCTCGTTTCCACATACTGGGTTTGTGAGGTGAGACCAAGTGGGACAGCCTTTTTTGTTGCTAGGACAACTCTGAGTGGGACATGCTGGAAGTTCTCAGCGCCAGTGATTGGGAGGCACGAGCGCAACGGGAAGCTCGTCCAAGTCTCTCTGCTTCAGCGCTGCGCTGGCAGGTGCTCTCGAACCTTCGCTGGGCGCCTTCCAGTGATGATGATGCGCGGTCCGTACCTGGGCCTGTGATATGTCTCATAGTGCGGTACCATATGTCCTGCTGTTTAAATTTGCGCCGCTCGGAGTCCATTTTCCTTGACATGCGCCTTTGTATTAGGGACTGAATGTGACTCTGCTCGTGTTCCCTTGGTGGTCGCTGCCAAGCACAGGCCAACAAGCACGCCAGTACATCCACAAGTTGCTGCACTGTATACAACCCAACTCAAGATGCTTTTATCGGGGTGGCATCTCCATCAGCAATGTGCCAGGCTTCATGTTTTTGGCCACTGGGATGTTCATGCCTCCTTTGTTTGTGCGTCGAGGGAGCTGTGTGGTGCGGTGTCATTGGGAGCGTGGCGGGTATCTATCCAGCAGGTCCTGGAAAAAGCCCAAACGAGAAGATCAAAGACGATTGAGCGTTGACCCCTTGAAGCGCCATTTGGTTGTGGGTCGAAACCTAAGGTGCCTTTTTGGGGATGGTTGCTCCAGCGTTGTCTTTTTAGAAGGCCTTCCGTTCACAGGGAACCGGGGTTTTGACCCATTGGCAACGCCCCTGTGAGTGGAGGGAATGCGCATCGGGCTAGAAGTTGGATGCACGGTGCGAATTGCCCCTGAGCAGTCTTGGTCTAGCAGTCCTATGGGTTTGGATATTTTGCACACTTGCCTCCAAACCGCAGTTCCCTTTGCTTTTTGTGAGTCAGGGATGCGCATTACACTTCACTTGGCTGGTGAGCGTTTGAAACGTTTGACCTAGGATGCTTAAAGCCAGTCTTGACTCGCTTGAGTCCAGGCATTTTGAAGAGCACAAGGGAGGAGAAGGGGAATAAGGGTTGTGAATGAAAAGTTCCATGTCTGAGGTCGTTTCCGCTGCTGATTCCGAAATGTCCACCAGCCTGGCACTCAGGAGTATGTTTCTTAGGGCAAGGGACCAGGAGCGGATTGAACAGTCGAAGGAGCGAGCCGTTTGATATTCATCGAAGATGGGGGCACGGAGTTCAGACTTGCACCAGAGATGCGAGATACTTTGCCCAGGCTCGTTATGTACAGCACTTGGTTGGCCTGGCTTGGCCCCCCGTGCCACAGGAGCGAGGGCGAAGCTGATGTAATTTGGGGCGTTGAACTGTGAGTCATGGGCAGTGCAGGGCCTGAGGCAAGCAAGTCTTGCCTTTTATGGACAGCATCCATCCAAGCCACATGAGCTTAAGCACAGCTCCCTTCAATTGTTTGCCTGATGGTAAGATTTTGCAGCAGGCAGTCATTGAGTTTGAACCTGGCATGTTGCCATGATTTGCAGAGAACACAGCGTAATGTTGTGGGAGGACCTTGCAATCTCATCTCAACGTAGCTTCATTGAGTCGTTCTTCGCCTTTTTGGCACTTTCACTCAGTGCCGATGCATTTTGCGGAATCCATCAGATTTCATTGGGGAGGCTGGTTTTTGATGTTTTTGATTTTGTTAATTGTTGCTGTAGGGTTTGGGGAGTCATGGTCCAAGCCAAAACAGCCACAACCAAAACCCAACCCCGACCTCAGAACGGCCCAGTTTTTGTTCAGCGCGTGAAATCCTTTTGCTGCCACCTTTTTGCCCTCGAGCTGCACGGGCCACTGGGGCAGTCCCCGCTCGCAGGTTGCAGCCTGTACCCAGTCCAATTCAAGCAAGCCACTAGCAAAAAGCCACTCCCTAGGAGAAAACAAAGCCCACATAGAACAGTTTGCACAAAAGTGGCTGCATGTTGAAGCTGGGGAATTCGCAGGCGCTCTTAAGCACTCTCAGTCTTGACAAGCAAGTAAGGCAGGGCTGCAGACTGGACAACATGCGCAGGCAATATCCATTTGGTATCAATGACAATGCTGAGCAGGGACTATAGAAAATCCATGATATCCCGAATGCAGGACCACTTGAGAGCAGGTAGTGTACGCCGCCTTAGATCATAGAAGTAGATCTCTGGCCAGTTTTGATGTATGAAGGGTAGCTAGTGGTGTGCGGGCGTGTTTGCACGAAACCCAACTTGAGGATAGCATGAACACCGCAGCCAACATTCAAGCGGGAGTGTGCATTTTTATTGGGATCAATTTGGAGAGTTCTCCAGACATCTCATAGATAACAGCGCAGGGCCAAAAAAAAGACAAGACATCTAGCGGCCCTTTTCGGAAGAGTTTCGGAAACCGAAAGACCGAAAGGCGGACAATGCAACTTTGGCTGACTCGCAGGACAGCAGGCTCCGACTGATAGAGACTTGCCTTCAATTCCGATGGGTTGACCAAGCCGAGGCAGCTCTACCAACAAGAGAGAGAGAGAGCGAATCGCCAAGGAATGAGCTACAAGGAAGCTCTTCTTGCTGGTGGTGGTGGCATTGATGGTGTTAAGGCGAGCTCTCGAAGTTTCGCTGACGGTACCCAGAAATCCTTTCCCTCTGATCCCTCCTTTCCATCTTCCGTCCGCACGAGGCTGCCAAGATGGCCAGGGGACCCGAGAAGAAGCTCCAATGCTTCGTGCTCCTTGTCCTAAGAGGCAGCACGGACGGGCTGAGAAAGGCAGGCAAGGCGGTCAGTGCTGCGATAGGCATGGTTCTTTACCTGCAAAATCTAGTAAGTTTTGGAGAATCAGAGGTCCCTAGCCTGGGATTTAAGATACACAAACCCTTGGATCTCTCCAAAGTCTAGACTCTGGACCAAGGGCGAGGGGGCACCATGCCAGGGGGAGGGGAGTCCTGCAACTGTATATATATATATATATGTAGAGATCAGGATTTGCTCGAGAAGTTGGGGCTCAAGTCCAGGGCATTGTTCTGCTTCAACTCCATTGTCAAGCAATGCGAAGCAGGGAGCAGAATGCTGCGCCGAACAAATACACCGATATCCAGGCAGAGTATGCTGAGCACAGCTCTTTGCCGTGCACTTTGGACGGGATGCGGACTGTGGGGCTCATCCAATCAGATTCCATGGATTTGCAGAACGACCCTCGCTTCTTCCAAAGCAACGTCCTCAACAAGAGGCTTGCAGCCTTCAGCAAGGTCGAGCTTGGGGTTATTTCGTCGCTCATGCTCGGCGCGTGCACCCACGTCATCGAGATGAAGAAAGACTTGAACTTCCAGACGACTGAAGGAATACTGCGGGCTCTGAGTTTTGGGCTGTTGTCCATCGTGATGTTCCTGAGCATTATTACAACATACGTTGGCGTTGCCCAGATGTACCACACCTGCCGCTTGGAAACTGCAGGACCAACTGGTTTTGAAATCGCCACGTCGTATTATTTGAATCCCAACATTGTCGCATGGCGTCATTTTGCAGTGAGATGCATGATTCACGGCCTCACAATCTTCCTCATCTCGACCGGAATCCGGGTGTCTGTCACCTTTGAGGATGTGGCAGAGGAGGCGGGGCCCAAGATATCCAAAACTAGCGCTCACATCTTGGGTCTGGTGACGCTGATGCTCTTCTGCATTGCAGGTCTCATAATGCATTACATAAATGTGAAGCACCAGGCAATTTTCCGGTGCAACTATGAGCATGCCAAGGAGTCAGAGCGTCCATACATGTCGACAATAAAGGACATGATGTTCTCCAAGCGGAATGGACCTCAACCATATCGAGATGTTGTTTGAGCTGCCGAGTCTCACCCTACTGGAGCGCCGCTAGCGGCACTATCGCTAGGATCAAATCAAATTGGCCTTCAGCTGCAAGCCACCCGAGCTGCCAGCCATTGAAGTACTGTGATCGTGGTTTGAAGAAGAAAACAATGTATTGTGATTGTTTGGTCGAGTCTGTGTGTACTTATAGAAGTACACACCTCAAATGTGTGTGTGTGTGTGTGTGTGTGCGCGCACATGTCCATGTAAGTATGTCTGTGTGCTGTTTTGATTTTTGGCGCTGCTATAATCCACTGTTTTGCCGTGCGTTGCCAGCCGCGTGTTTTTTTTTTGCATTTGGTGTACCTGAGCCGTCCCCACCAATTCGCACATCGCGAGCTTGAAGCGGCTCTGGGCCCGAGGAACGGATACCGCAGAGGAAACTGTGAGCTGCCCGTCATCCATGAAGAGCCAGACGCTGACGAGGACCGAGCGGTGAAGGCACCGTTGTCTTCGCACTCTGGATATTTGTTGCATCGGAAAGGCCGAAGGCACTGTTTTGCGACATGTTTCTGCTTCGCACTCTGGATATTTGTTGCATGGGAAAGGCCAAAAGAACACCATACTCCAAGCGTGTCCTTGTGATGCATCGCCATCCACTCTTGGCATGTGAGGAATATTGGCTTCGCAAGGGCCAGGGCTCCCTGCTTGCCCTGCGTCGCTGGCGGTTCGACCGGCGGCCTGGGCACTGCAACCCGGAGCGGTGTGTTATCGAAAGCAAGTCACGGTCGGTCGAAAGCCCAGAGCCCGGCCATGCTCATTCAGCATACGGTTCAGCGCTTGTCAGGAGCGTCGCGCTGGCATTGGGCGGCAGCAGCCCACTTGGGAGTATGAAAGTGGGCAAACTGCTGCAGCGTGGCAAGAATTGTAGTCCAACAGCCCCCCAGCCTGTCAGAAGTGGGGATGATTCAAGGGTTGACTCATCGCATCTCGTTGCATAGCGCTGGAAAGGCCGGCTACTGCCTTTCTGACTGTGAGGAGGACGATGAGCCATTGTAAGTAATATGGCTTTCAGGAGCTTTTCCTCAATCGTCACACTCGTGCCTGTGGACTTTTATGCAATGAATCAATGCTTAAAGCAGACAAATGCCGATGGTGACAATGGCGAGGAGTTAGGTCAAGACTGGAAGCCATGGTGGGTAGCGGATCCTAGAGCTGATCATGCTATCCGTAGGTTGAGGCAAGCAGTTGGAATGTGCAGCCTGACATACTTGCCTCCTTTGTGCAGCCAAAGTTCTGTCAATTTGTTCAAAGTTGGACCATCGACTCCTTGCACCATCTCCAGCTTGCCAGAGATTTGCATGAACTGCCGTTTGTACATAGCCTAGGCCTCGTTGCCGCTATTCCAATCCAAGGGCAGCTGAAAGACATGCCAGTGTTAGGTATCATGTGTCGCAGATGTGCAGTTTCTTCACACTGTATCCAGCTATGGCCTGCCATGTGGGTGTGGCTCAAAATTAACCGGGAGGGGTTACGCAGGTGTTGGTCCATGTTTCCACTAAGGTTCCATTTTGGTACCGGTTTTTTTGAGCCACAGCCACAGCCATGTGTAATTCCTCAATGAACCCTCGCCAAGAGCAGGATATCATGCTCTCCGCAGCTGTTCACTCAAGTTGCTCAGTGTGCTGTGCAGAATTATTGTGGCCGGTAGGCACATGAGATGAGCCGATTGCACGATGGTTCGAGGCATGCCACGGATGTCCCCGGAATTTCTTTGTTGGTCACGCCCAAGTTGCCCAAGCCCTTTAGTTCATCGATCTCCCAGCCTATGCTTTTGGCCCCGCATCATGCGCCGGCTCTTGGCTGGCCTGGAGGTGCGGCTCGAACTCGTTTGGCGCGCCAACTGCCGCCGCCAACTTTGCCGAGCAGCAAGCTGCGCCAGGAGGAAAGCTTGAGGGATCCATTTCAGCCCGATGCGCTGGCACATGCCTGGGCATGATCTGTGGCCTCTGGCCTTCACTTTGCGCTGAGGCCCATCGCAGAGCTCCAACTTCCTTTCGCTTGTTCAAGGCGGCCCCAAAGCTCGGGGGAGGCGCTGGCATCGCCGGAAAACACGCTGTGCCAGGGCAAGCCTCCAGCAGAGCCGCCCATTCACTGTGGTGGTGCTGCCGATGAGAAGAAGGACCCCTCAGCCACGTAGCTGATTTTGGGGACTTCGAGGGCCAGCTCTTCCCCGAAAAGCGGTGTGTCAAGGGCTTACACTTTGGTTTACTCGCACTTGAGCACCACCTGTGACCTTGCTGATGCAAGTCTACGTTTGGCCCCTTGGCGCTTTTGCCTCTCTTGCGGCTGGCCGTTTTGGTGTATGTCTACATCGGTTCACGTGCGCAATTCTCCCCTGGCGTTCTGCCCGACATGAGAGATTAGTAAGCAAACGATTAAACAGGTGGGTGCTTTTCTTGAGGGTACCTTTTAACGAAAGCTAACACGCAAACCGCCATTCTCGCGGGGTCCATTTTGACACATACCCAAACATCTTTAGGGCCTGATTGTCGGAAAGCCGGGGCGGGGAACGGTGCTTGCCACATGCCGCCCTTCCTTCTCTAATTCCTCAAGCCCTTTCAAGGCGAAAGGAAGAAGTCATCCACGTTGGAAAGAAAGGACGGCATTCCAAGATAATCCATCCTAGGCATGGACTTCTGATTTTGACATGTCTTTTCAATGGTACCCTTTTTCCTGAATGCGTAGCGAAGGGTTCGCGTTTATACGTGGGGGGTTTGGGAGTGGAGGTCGTGTTTGCCACAAATTAGTCTACAGTTTGCCAACAACCGTTTGCGAGTAGCGAGGCCGTGCCATGGGGGAAGGATCAGAAGGTGCCCTGTATGACTTGCAAAATGTTGTAGGTATTGCACCTTTTCGTAAATCGTAGCTTTTGTGACGTTGCGCGTCGTTTCGTTGCGCCCTGTCGTACAATCGGCTTGTTTTGGTGAGCTGAAAGCTTGTCAAAATCGGTGGAACACATTCTGGCCAAAGTCCCGCGATCAGTTTGGACGCCATGCGTCACAGTGCTGCGCCTGCCACGAAATTCAGCACGTGACCCTGCAAAATATGTGCCCCCCACGATATCTGCACTCAGGCTCCGAAGCACTGCCCCTGTCACACAATCTGCACAAAAAACTCTAAAGCGCTGCGCCTGCCACAAATTTAAAGCGCCGCGCCTGTCGTTCGGAAGGCGCAACGCTCTGATGCATGGTGCGCCGGTTTCGTGGCATGTGCCGTGCTTACGCAATAGTGTTGAGTGTCGCGCACGGGCTGTAAAGCAGTCTTCGCGTTTGTCACAGCATATCTTTGGGGAGATGTGTCTTGCAGAGATGTCTTTTCAATCGGGGGTGTCTCCGGGGATGTTTTTGGAAGGTGTCATGGCTGGTGACGCGTTCGCAGTTGTTTGGGGTGTTGCCCTTCGGCGTTTCTTGGGTCTTTGCAGTTGTTCTGGGTGATGTCTTTCGCGCTGACTTTGGGAGAGTCGTTGCAAGGTGTCTGTATGGGGGGCGTTTTTTGGGGGCTGTCTGTTTGGAGGATGTTTCTGGGGTGTTTGTGGGAACGTCTTTGCGGCCTTGGGCCATGTCTTTGAGGAGTGGTTTTGGGAACGTCTTGGGAAGGTGTGTTGGAATGATTCCTTGCTGAGATGCCTTTGGAAGGGTCTTAGGGAACAATGTTGTTGCGCTTGTTTTGGGTGACGTGTTTGATGTTTTGGGAATGGTGTCTTGAGGGTGATGTCTCAGGAGGATGTGTCTTTGGGATGCCTTTGCATGTTTTGGAGGGCATCGGTTTGGGGGACGACTTGAGGGTGTCTTTAAACACCAGAAGGGCAAAAGAGGAATTTGCAGCCGCAAGTGTTGCTGCGATCCTTTCGTGACAAAGCGTGTCGCGACCCGGTGTCGCACCTGCAGCATTTCTTTGGTCTGACTTCGCAGAACAATAAGTACCTGCTGCCCAGAAAGGTTACTCCACGAGTCGCGAAAGCAATCATGATGCCAGCTTTTGGCCATCTGTAGCCGGGTTCGTTCCATCAGGTTGGAGGTTTCCATCAGGTTGGAGCTCGGGTTCATGGACATTCTGATGGTAGCTCGGGTTCGCGGGTTCCATCCGCTTGGAGTTGGACGTCCCCGAGCCGCGGATCGGCGCGAGGAGCTTGTGGAGACGATGCAGCTGCGCTCTGCTGGGGAGCGCAGCACAGGCGGCTTCGATCCTCTTGACGGGCAGTAAAAGGGAAACCGAGCAGAAAGCCAAGCATGTTGGGGGACACAGAATAAAATTTGAAACACATGTATAAAAAACGATAAAGAATGGACAAATCCCCACCCATTTTGAGGAACACCTGGCTACGTTTGGTTTTCCAGTTGGAACAGCTTAAAACATGGGCTGCCAAAAATCCCATGCAAAGGATATCCGCTAAAGGATCCACGATCAACACTCACTCCCTCTTGTTTGTTCAGCACAAAACTTTCCGAGCTCGGACACACGTTTTGCAATGCACTATGTTTGATATCAGTGTATGTTGATGTTACTGGCGTCGATGATCTAGCTGTGGCAGAAGCTCAACTGTTGCTGATATGGCAAGAAGTGGGTTTGCAATTAGCTGCAGTTATCTTTGCCATGAGAGTCACAGAAATCAGCCAGGTTCGTTAATGCAACTCTTCCAGCCAAATGGTATATCGGGCTGCTAAGCAAAACCAGCCCTTTCCAAATCAAGTTGCTCAAGCTTGTGGGATAGTCGTTGAACAATGGGGAGTTTGAGATCCTCGGAGAACCAGAGACACCGAGCCAGCGATCGTGTCGAATGACAGGCCGAGAAAAAGATGGCCCTGCCACGCCGCCAACCTAGTATTTTCATGGCAAGCTCAGACTGGATGTGAACGCCGCCAAAGAAAATCCGAGGAAATATTTCGCAACATTTGGGGGTCGCTTTTTCGTGCGTTTGCCCGTCAGGAAGAAGCTGAAAGATGTCATGGCCGAGCAGGCACGGGAGTTTGTCGTGGCGACTGGGCCGCCTGGCGCCTGCAACAAATGTCAAATGTTGCGCAAGGAAGGGCAAGTGAAGCCAAAGCCGGCCGCACGCTCGGCTTGTCACTGCAACATCGGAAGCACATATCCATTGAGGTGCAGAAGCATGACTTCAAGGGAATGAAAAAAGAAACCTTGTGTAGCTGACATAGTTGTGCATGTACTTTGCAATGGCTGTCGCGTTGCGAGCAAGTCGAGCAAGTGCACCCAGCCAGGATCACGACACCCTTCCGCATCGAAAGGCTGTGGACAGAGCTCCCCTCAGCCTTCGGCTGATCGCACGCAGCCATCATGCGAGCTGCAAGGAGAAAACGGCGGATGAAAACATCCCGAAAGAGCCACCGGGCTTGACCCCAGGCCGTCCTCTTGGCTTGAGCCCCAGACGTAGGAGGCGCGTGCCATAAAGTATGTGTTTCATGTGAGGTGTCAAGCACCAAAGGACAGGAGATCCGTCCACCAGCTTCATGAGGGTGTCTCTCTCTCTCACAATATATTATTTCCTTGCCTGATTCCAGTGTTTGCTGTGGCTGTGCTTGGCCTGTTCATTGCAAAGAAGTACCAACGGCTTCCGTGCGCTGGGGCGCTTTCGTCCACTTCTACCCCTAGTCACATTTGATTTTGCACTTTGCGGCTGGAGCCTCCAAAAGTTTGGTCGAATGCGGGCGGACTCATCTTTCCACAAAATCCAAACTCCCCGAGCCTTACCGGCAGCCCCTCTCGGTTTCCCAAATACATTGCTCCATTGCGGGAAAGAGCATGTTCTGATGAAGTGGCTCATACAATTGCCAGAAAAGCGCAAAGCCAAGTTTCAAAAACAAAATGCCACACAGGAGCTTTGCTGAGACTCCGCTAGCGTCAAGTGAAACCAGCCCAGGTCGGGGTCCAAAGTTTCCCGGCCGAGAAGAGCTTATCAACGAGGGGCCTTTTCCATTGAGGCCAGATTCGTCGCACGTGAAGCACTGCTGTTGCTCGGGTCACACAGCCTAGCAGGAAGCATGGTTTGACCCAATGACTCCCTTTGGACACCCGCTTCCAGGTCACGGATAGCTCAGCTCGCCACACACGTCTACTACCTTTGGGGCGTCTCGCTTGCATTTGGGGTTTGGTCCTTGAAAGGGTTGCTTGCTTGAGTAGGGGTTTTACTTCAGCAATGTGGCTGCTGAGGCGAGACAAAGTTTACAGACTATTTGGCCAGAGGCACACCAGCACAGAATGTGGCGTTGAACTTGGAATCTTGCTTGCAAGCTAGAACTGTATGCATCACATGCCACGATGGATCGTCAATAGTCTGTGCACGATTGACTGAAATATCAATACCATCTTTGAGTTTGTTCTGCCCAAGCCATCGCACTTGCGGCTACGCTTGTCCATCCAAGGAGCACTTTGCACGTCAAGCCTGGCGCTCATATCATAGTTTTGCTGCATTTGTACATGACAGTCGCCGAACCACTAGAAGAGATGTCTTGAAGTGAAGATCAGGGGCCGATCTAGTCTTTTGGTTTTGGATTGGGGTGACGCATGGCAAATGCATGAACGGCAGCTGGTGCGCGACGCAAACAATGATTCAACCAATGCCCAGGCCCACCATGCAGCAGGAAAGCTGCTTGAGGACACACACGTGCCCTTGTCCAGACCGCCGAGCTGCGCTGAGACGGGACATGGCATTCAGCGCGGTTTTGTTGCTCTCCAAGTCAAGGCCCAACCTTCCTGTCGAGGCATGGCCAGACTGGTTTTTGCATGGGGCCAGTTGGACCTTGATCCAAGTGACAGGTCAGTGAAGCCCCGGTCGAGCTTCTATTGCTCGGAGCTCATCCCTATGCCATTGCATGCTGACTCAAAGCTCTAGAATGTAGTTGGCTTTGTGTTACCGCCGCGGTCAGGTTGCGCGACCGCTTCTCGCCAGAGGCGGAGCGAGCCTTGCTCTCAGATGCGCGGAGCGACTTCGCAAGTGTTTGATCACGAATCTGGGACTAGGCCTCATTCCGGAAGCCATCGGAGAGCTTGGGGCTTGGTTTCCTGTAGCTTGAGCTACTTTGGAAACCAAGTACACAGGCAGAAGCACAAACAACACCTGCCAAAGTTGCATGCGTGGAGAGAGCAGCGCTGCGCAGAAACGGCAGTGCTCCTGAAGACCACAGGATATTCGACAATGAGCAGACATGAAGCGTCATGCTTCATACTGATGTGCGTTGGATCCTAGCCAGTGGCCCTTGAGTCGTGCGAGCATGCCCCGGCAGTTCAACTTGTTGGCACCTTACCCAGGTTGAACAAGACATGCCTCTTGAGCCGCAACAACGCACTTTGAAGCCTTTGAATTGCGTGTCGGCCATGGCAACTCACCATTGTGCCGCCGGCAAAGCCGCGCATCGTTCCAAGGCAGCTTGAAAACTGCACACTTGCTACCGTCTTGCACGGGCTAGGTCCAGAGGGATTTGTGTGATCAAATCTAATGCAATCTATAAGCAAGGGACACTTGGAAAGCATGTGCACAGTGGGGGTCTCCATTCTCACTGCTTACATGGGAAATGCATCAAAGGTGTTCCTTTGCTTGCCGCTGTCGGCCATGTTTCTTAGAGGAGATAACAAGCATTGTTTGGTCAAAGCCATAAGGTCAATCCATGAGCTGCTTGATTTGCAAGGTGATCGCCACGGCAGCTGCCTTTGCAGCGCTTTTCTGGAGCGGCCGCTCATTTGTGGCAGGTAGAGGCCTGATTTTGTCAAGGCAAAAGTCACTGGGTATTGACCCCATTCAGGCGTACTTTTCCGGATAAAACCGTGTTGTTTTGAACCATTCTGGGTCATTTCCCAAGGGTGTAATTTCAGAGTGTAATACAAAAACCCGGAGAAAAAGGCCATGTCCTTGGTCTCGTGGCACCAAGCAGTCCCAAAGCACTTGCAGGTTCTCGTGCTTTGCACTCTCCTCGCTCCACCAGCACCAGATGTACAAAATCTTTACTGTGTCTTGGCAGTTCGCTGTGTACATTTCCTTGGGAGTGAGTATGGCTTCAATGCACTGGTTGCTGATGTCCTGCTTGTGGATGCATGCCCATGCATGAAAAAAAAAAAACACGGGCGGAAGAGCCTTCAGTGTATCACCAAAAACATGTTGAGACTCAGGTTGCACGCCACCTGTGAGCAGATGGACTGGGATGGACCCGATCCAGCTGTGCCTTTTCAGCAATGCGCAAAAAAGATTTCCCTCGTGAAGTCCAGGCGAGTTGTGACAATCGTCAAATTGGGATGGAGCGTTTCCCTCGGCACTTGCCTTTATTTTTGGTGGTGTGCCGACTGGCACAACAAACGGCTGCGGCTGCTATTGCAAATCGTCAGTCCGTGCACTTGACAAGACCTCAGTTTCGTCGTTGGGGCCATGGATTGTTCGGAGATGTGTCGCGCCACAGTTCTTTGATCGCGGAGAGCGACCTTAGCAGATAGGAGCCCGGAGATCAGAAGCGGGGGATGGGCCAGGCTTGCTTGCGCTTAGCTGTTTCTTTAACCTCAAGACG